ATTGCTATTTTACATATATAATACATATAATTGTTATCTTATTCATTCCTTATCACTGTGATGTTTTTAAAGGGATTGTTCTGTTGGTGCCAAAACAATTTCTCTCAAACAAACATGTGGAGGAGCTTGATAGGCATATAAAATAGATTCGGCAACATCTTGTGCCTTTAGAATACCCAAAGTAAGTCCCTTCTTCATTCCTTCAACCATTTCGTGTAGTTTCTCATCGTGTCCAGTAATTTCACTCTCTGTCACTCCAGGTGATATGACAACCACTCTGACCTTGGAAGAAGCAACCTCACTTCTCAATGTTTCACTAATGGCATGAACTGCAAACTTTGAACCACAATAAACTGAGGCACCATCCATGGTCTTTCTTCCAGCAATACTGCTGATATTAATGATGGTTCCTGCTTGTCGTTGGACCATGTCCTTGGCAACGACGTTAATGCCGTTGAGGACACCCTTGATATTGACATCAATGACAGCATATTGCTTATCTAATGATTGCTCAGAAAGTGGAGAAGAATGACCAATTCCAGCATTGTTAATGAAACAGTCAACTGGTAAATTGAACTTTTTGGTTGCCAATTCAACTCCCGTACGAATATCTTCAACATTGGTGACATCACATTGATGAATGAGAGTATTATCTTGATTGAAAGAGTAACGACTATCATTCACCAATTCTTCCAATCTGTCCTTTCTTCTAGCAAGGAGAAGCAACTTGTAACCCTTCTGAGCGAATAAAACTGCAGTAGCTTCACCAATACCACTGGAAGCACCTGTAATGACGACTAATTTGTTTGTTGTTGTAGACATTTTGTTGTTGTTGTTGTTTTTTTGAATTATTATTTGAAGAATTGCAATAATTGTTTTTGTTGCTTAAATAGGTTTGAATTAGTACGCACTAGGCACCTAGGATAATCTTTCAGTTGGTTTTAGAGAAATGACGGCCATTTTAAAAGTGCACCCTAGGCCTTTGGATTTATGCACACGACTATTTAAATATCCATGGTTGAATTTCTAAACAGTTGCAGTTGACTGGTTGAAGATAATGATCTTGTTATTTTCAAATTTCTTACATTGCAAAAATTAATTTACAACTAGTTGATTGAACAATCTAATTGACTTCCTTAATGATTCGCCTGGAAATAAGTGAATTGTGTTGTTTATAAATATATATGGCGGGAAAATTGTCGAATGAATTAATAATGAGGTGAAACGTGTTGCCCATCATGGGAGTAAACCAAGTCAGGGAAGAAACTCTTAAAAACCTTAAAGTGCTCATCAATGTACCTATTTGAGGGATAATTAGGAACAGCCGAATCTTCCTCAAATGCCACCTCCAAATGTTTATGAGCTACCTCTGCCAAAGACATGATATTGGTCATGTACTTGGCACTTGCTGCCACAACAAACACTCCATTAACATCCTTTGCAATGATTTCATGTTGAGCTAAAAGTGGAATGAGAGGATCTGGTTTCTTTTGTTTGGCACTTAAACGAATTAAGGTTAAAGTCTTTGTTGAGCTTGCTGGTAGATAAAAGTCCACAAATAGATTTCTCCTAATACTATTCGTGGCCAGTACATCCTGTGGTTCAATAATTGTTACATGTTCATATTTCAAAATATCTGGAAATTTCAGATATTGATCAATATTCGATCTCAAAATGCAAAACTTTTTCAAATTGGGAGGAAAACAGGGAATCATCTTTTCATGATAATCTCTCGATGAGGAATGAAGAATAAGGCAAAAATTATCCACCGATGTCATTTGTGAAAAGTCAAACTTTTTCTTTTTAGAATCTAAACAATCGACATATTTCAATGATTTGAAAGAATTGGCAAAAGTTGATGGAATCACAACACCTTTACCATTATAGTAATCGTATCTGATGACAAGGTTATCCAATAGGTTGCCATTCAATTTGAGTAAATGTTCCATCAACTTGATATTCAATGGATACCAAGCTATTTCAATACCTTTCAGGTTGGTCAATTTGGACATTTTCTTTGTGTCTATCTTTTTAACTTCCTTCCCAAGACTGATTGTGAACGGTACGAAATAAATTGTCTCCCAAAAGGCCTTACATAATAAAGTCAACTCTTTCAGTTCACCAATTTCTAATACTTGATGTTTAAATGCAAACTCCAAAACTAAACTCATTGGATCAGTTCCAATTTTCTGCAACTGGAAAATAGCTGCTGCTGATGAATTGGTAACAATGGAAGCATTCTTCTTCATTTCGGCAGAATAATAAACATTAGTCTGAGGTCTCATTCTCTTGATAATCAACAATTCCTCTTTAAATTGGTTCAAATTCTTAATCTCGGAATCAATGGTTGCAATTTCATGGTCAATTTCGTGATTGGTAGCATTTTGAAAGTCGTCTGAACGTTTTAATTTTTTCTGCTGTTGTTTGGTTGAGGTGTTGGAAGATTCCTTTCTTTTCATTTTTTTTTAATTATTTTTGAAGTTTAAAGAACTTTGAAAGTTAATATTGGTAAAAAGAAAATTTCTCTTATATGATGTCAACACAGTAAAGTTAGTTAATAATGAAAGCAGCGATAGATCAGTTGGTTAGA